CGTACTACCATCCATATCCTATGACCAGTCAGATACTACCATCCATATCCTGTGACCAGTATGGTTTCCTGGAACGAAAATGCAAATGTTTATCCTGCAAATTAATCGAATCAGACCTCATTCTTATCATTAATACTTTTTATATCAAATGACATAGTTGATGATTTGGTAACACATATAATTAAGCTAATGTGTTTTAGCATAAACATGCATCAATATATATCATAGCATGTCTGTATATCATGTATTTGTATGTATATATATATATGTCGGTTAAATTGTGCAGTGCCAAGGTTATTTTAATACACTAAGTATGCCCATGCACTTATTTATGTACAATTTGTTGCTAATCATTTCTTTTTCTTAGTACCCACATATGCATGTTAACACACTAGGTACTATGTTCATGGTGGTTGTTTGATTCGTCAGTAGGCTTGCCTCCCATCCCAACCCCTACATACACATTTTCCAATATTTTGCTATAAGGATAGTCATAAGGATACGGACATGCCTCGTTTGTATCTGATTCCAAAACTTCACAAGAGTTCTCATAAGCAACATTTTATCACTGGCTCTTCAAGGACCTCAACCAAGCCTTTATCCCAAATCCTCACCTTCATTCTCAGTACCATTAAATCAGTGTTGCAGTCGTATTGTGATACTGTCTACTATAAAGAGGTGGATTTTGAACATCATTTTCTCAAAAATGTTTTCTCTTTCAAAACTTTTGTTTTTTCCCATTCGTTACACTACCTTTTCTCATACCCAACTGCAAGAACGCCTACGTTCTCTTGTTATGAGAGTTTTCTTTTCAAAGAAAGTATGGCGAAGTAAACATGTGTTTGTAAAATAGTTTGTAGCATATTATTCTGCGAAAAATACGACAAAGACAAAATTGAACAATATCTTTGTCGGTGGTAAGATTGTCCAGCAGACTGTAGTCATTCCTTTCTTGTGCCTCTATTCTGGTCGATTTGTTTCGGTTGAGCTTATCAGGACTTGTAAGAAAAAAATAGACAAGTCCTCAAATTTCACATTCTGATATATCGACAATATGCTATCAAAGAATAACAAGAAATCCATAGACCACATTGACCGTACCATCTATTTATTTTACCCTCCAGAGCTTGAAAAAAGGCATCGCAGACCCTTCTACTTCAGCCGCTTTTATCGTTCTTTACTTACAACATGACCAACAGTGACGGCTACTACTAAGATATACGATTATTGGAACACTATCGACTCTACGATCGTAAAGTTCCCCTTTTTGGATAGCAACATCCCTGCTTCTCTACCTACGGTGTTGACATGTCGCGGTCGCTTGGGTAGTTAAGAGCTGGCTACGAATATCACGACCTCCGCGATAGATGTCGACTGCTTACGGACAAACTGACAATACAGGGTTTCCAGAGATCAGGTTGATGAAGACTAGTACTATGGACAATGTGTATGATCGCCATCAGGATCTCGCAAAATAAATATGTATTTCTTTGCGTGATTCGAAGGTCGATGTTTTTTTTATTATGTTCATGAAAGACCCTTGTGGTTTGGTTGTCACTATCCTCGATGAGAGGACGTGACATTCCTTGGATTCGACCTAGATTTACATCGCGGGTGTAATCGATGAAGTAGAAGACGCTCCCCCTTCCGGAACACCTGGTCTTATTCCTCTTGTACCTTTCGACGGTCTACATGTAAATCATTCATTCAATCATATTTTGAACCTTATTTTATGGATTTTTAATTCGAATCGTTGTTTTGTTGACATTCAGGTATAATGATTTGGGCCAATCACTATTAACAAAAATGATTTCTGAAAGTGTTTTTCTGTTCTTGTAAATCGATTTTGACATTTTGCTTCTATTTCTAGCAATTCAGGCGTCAGTTAAGTACTATGACTGGAGGACGAGGAGACATGATCGGTTTGGGGCTATCGGACGAGGAGAAGCAAGAAGACGAGACATCGGAAGGGGAGGCAACTAAGGAAAACGGCGAGAAAAAGAGCAAGAAAAGGGATAAATCTAAGAAACAGGAGCAGCCGATAAAACCGCCTTTCAACTTTGACCTTGCTGAGTTTCTTGCAGACTATTTTTCCAAAGAAAAAACAACAAAAAACTCTGATAATAGATCACAGCAGCAGACCACCACGTGGAAAAATCGACGTAAACAGAGGAAAGGGAAACACTGCACAGGATATGAAATTTGAAGCAAAAAGAGGAAAGACAACATGTGTACAAGATGCCCCTTCTATTGTGTGACATGAGACGGCCCTAACTATTTTGTCTTCCACTTCCTCGCCCTCGTTATATATTCTACTATAATACATGCACGTTAGCCGATTATTTATTTAACACAACCATCTGCATGCTTTGGATACTGTATCACAATGCGCAATGGCATAACTTGACATGACCTCTAATAATACTGTAGGTATGGTCTTACAGAAACAGTTTCAATTACTCCGTTTGCTGTAAGTCAAGCATGGCCCTTTGATATTAGAATACCTGCAATAGAGGTTCACCATAAAAAGCAATGTCGTCTGCCAGGCATCATTAGAAGAGAATCAGTTGTAGTCTGGCATACATTGTTAAGGCACGGTAAATATTATGATTATCTTCATATTTGAAACAAATTGGGTATCGCCTACATTGCACATGCATTTGATTCATACTACAGAGTTTTGACCATTATAATTGACAAAGACTTTGATGACATGCAATTTTCCGATTTTATCTGTGTCAATATAAACTCCGTTATAATTACTGTGCTTGTCGTAGGTTGGATCGTTGGTTGACTGTCGTCGAGTTATTGTTTTTACATACATTGTATATTCATATGCTCCTCTGACATCAAGACGATTTTCGATGTACCCTACAGTTTTTGTAACCAACAACCTTGTGAAAGCATTACATCCATGCATGAATACAGCATATGTCGCCATTGAAGCTGTACATTATTATCTGGAGAGCGGCTCGAGACTGTCGTTGGCAGGTGGCTTTGTCAACAAGACAGTAGGACAGGTAACCGGATATACGGCTGGGACTACAGGTGCGGTGAAGGTAGAACTGTATATGGTTCCAAAAATGTAAAACAGATTAGGATTTTTGACATTTCAATTAAGACTCACAATCTTAAATAGATAGAGAAATAAAATGAAAAAATAAATAATTACGAAAACGAATTCAACTTTTTCATATTCTTGATATTTACCTGTTGAAAATATCAAAGTTTAAATAAAAAAAAGAAGAAAAAAAAGCTTTTTAAATTTAAACTGTGAAGGGTTAAACCGTTCGATCGCTTCCATAACACAACCATCTTGATTACTGTATTTTTTATTATATGTGTAATATTTTTCATTGTGAGTTTATTTGCCTCATGATGTCGAAGATATTATTTTTTGCAGATTTTTTTTTGTATATACAATGTTTGTTAATAGAATGATAAGGATTTGTAATTGATATATTTCATATTCACCTATATCTTGCATCCGAGGACAAGGTAACATCCACTCACCATACAGGTATCTGTATATAATAACGTTTCTGCTGCACGTACCTACGTACAGTAGAAACTATAATCACGTTACTGTTATATAAATAGTCCTCTACTTACGGCTAGCATATCGTAACTTATAAGCTAGCCGGACAATATAAGTTGATTACAATACCATCCCCAGTGAATTCTGGGAGATACCGGCATGCTCAGCCTCTTTTCCGATTTGGGCGCGAGACGGACAAGACGTGCTTTTGGGAGTCCCTTATTAACAAGGTAAATAACTTCTATTTTGATCGCATGCTATTGATATGCCGCAGAGGGCATTAATATGTTATTGTCAGCGAATGCCGATGAGGGCATTTTTAATAACGTAGCGAGTATGCCGCAGAGGGCATTATAATTTAAGACTGCCGATGAGGGCATTTTTAGTAATAGTTAATTGCATGAGATGATTATGCCGCAGAGGGCATTATTATTATTATCATTATCAGTGAACGCCGATGAGGGCTTTGTGTTTGAGTAAATGCCATGTTGGTTGCGCATAAAACACTGAATACCGATGAGGGTATTTGTGTTAAAGCTAAATAATAAGACACACGAGGTGTTACGCGCTGAAGAGAGCAAGCGTATCCTATATGAGTGATCTGAAGGACTTTTGGTCGTAATGTTGATTGATCTGAGAAGCATGTGACAATGTATAGACTTGTGTAGGTCTGTTATATTACGTAAGGGCACGGCTAGCTTGCGGTGGATCTATATAATAAATAATGCGAGAGGATATAATGAGAATATATTGTGATATAAAAGAGATGTTATCTATAATTTGCGGTTGTTTGTTGTAATTCAGAATGAA